GAGGGAAGTGCGAGCGTTTGTAAAAATGGTCAGGATATTTTCAGAGACAGAGAGTTTGCTTTTTTTCCTTTAATAATTATTTCCCCTTTTTTCCCCACATAGCAACGCTTTGCTGTTCAATTTTCACCTCCATCTGTGTGATTATTAATCAGATCACACATCAATTGCCAGAACCAGCAAAGAAATTCAGCCTGTAATAAAACTGTCATGTGCTGTGGTATAAAGACAGATGTTGCCAGTTGTGTGATAACATAATTAAACTGTTCTGTGAGGGATTCCATAAAATTATTCAAATTGGACGAGCACTATCATTTTACCAATAAGCAATTTAGGGCAATATGCAGTGTCATAACACTGATGTTATCCTCTCTGCCAGATTTTCCAATAAGCCCGAGCCTTTGCTTGGCCTCCTGTGACAGTATGAACAGTATACATGAAGATACGTGAGAGCTGCTAGAGATGCTGGAGTGTCCTTTCAGTGTGATGCACAAACCGCTACACCACGAAGCCACTATACTGCAGCGAAGCGATTGGTCAAAAAGAACACACACACAGAGAGGACGGCTTTGTCATTCATGTGAAATATTCAGCATTGCACTGCACACGTCTATCTTATTCTGCTGTAGAGCAAATACAGAGATACTGGCAGGAATTCAATTCAAAGGCGCAGCGATAAGGGTGCGTTCTTCTTGTGTAACAGTGTATGTATTTCAATCTGGGCATAGCACGCTCTCTCTTTGCCCTCAGCTCTGCTGCAGAGTGCATACGATTAGCAGAGATCTGAGGCAGAAAATGCTCTCTGGCCTCCTCTCTGACCTGGTGCTGTTAACTCTCTCAGTCTGACCATTAGCCCATAATGTGGACTGGACGCCCAAAACCAGCAGGTCCTACACTTAAAGGCCTGACCTTTGCAACTCCATTCTACGTGAGCATATATATACTATTCACGTCTGTGTGTGCGTACTGGGAGAGCAAGGCTAATCATGGAACACTTGGCCATCAGAGAACAGTTAAGATTTGCAGTTCCACCTTCACAAGCCCCCACAAGGGACAGTGTATGATTTGCATTATGCAAGCAGAGGATGTGTGCCCACTCAGCTCTTTCTGTGGCCACTGTTATGGCCGTCAACCTCACGAAAGACACCTCAACCACACAGGCAGAGAGGAGGAAAACGAAAGAAGTAGCTAGCCGGTCTTATCTTTCAATATGTAGAAAATCTTTAAAAGCACTTGTTGGACAGGGTATGTTAGATGGATGTGCATGCAATAAAAGAAAAGCAGTTATTAATCATTGTTTTAGGTATTTTCTCTCGTGTGAACACCAGCCTAAGTTTATTAAAAGGACTCTTGTAAAGGACAGGATATTAATATTTAATGCTCTACAGTTGCATCACACGAACCAAATTTAGAGCGAAAGAGTAACTCGTATGTTTAAACAGGTAAGATGCTTTGCTGAAAATGACCACACATCACAGGAAATGTGAATATCGTGAAGACAGCAGCTCTAGAGCTAACAGGGTGTCCTTGAGAATATTACTGTCACCGTGCATTTATGTGACAACTACAGCTGCACAACACCGTTTCCTGTTGCAAAATCATTTAAATCACAAATCACATAACAGGTTATTGCAAAACTTTTTCATACTATTGCTTTTGTTTTATTTTCGCCCCTGCAGTATCTTCACTTCCTCATGTGGATAACGTTAAAACCACAACTTCTGCAACACAAACAAAAACAGAAAGCAAATAAACAGTGTGGTTCAGGGGTGCAGACACGTGTGCTATGAAAAGAAAAAAACTGCACATGCTATAATAGAGACATTTATTAATAATACATGGGTAACAGTGAACACAACGAGCACAGCAACAAGATGCACAACAAATGTTTACAAGGGCACCCAGTTGTCTAACTATTACAACACAACAGACAGGACATCGAGTTCCTCCTATAGAGAAATCTGCTGAATTTCAACAGCATCTTGGGGAAAAAAAGAGAAGAAACGCAACACCTTTTTCACCCTAAAAAATATTTGACTTACTAATAGACATGCTTAATTCAAGCTTATGGTCCACTTCCCCCAAATCTGACTAGTCAACAAGATGAATTCCCCTGTCAGAATCAAGATGATCAAACAGATTACAATTATTTCATCCCCCATCTTTATTAATGAGGACTGTCTTTCATAGTTATGTTCCCTAATAAGAATAAATGATATGCCACTGCCAGGTTTGTTGTTCCGGCTCACTCGAGGGACTCTCAGACATTTGCACTTTGAGTCTGAAAACATTTTAGATTGATTTTTGCGTCACCTAAAGGGGTAATGGCACCTTGCGTGTGTTGTGGAGAACAAAGAGCGCAGGAAAAAAAACTCTCAGTGTGTCAGTTAGAGGCATATTAGTGCAAGCCACAAATAAAACTTAAAAGAACGACTGTGAAATGTCACAAAAGTAAAAAGTTATCGAGTAACTGAGTGAAGATCGTAATGCCCCGGGGACAATTAACATGGTTCATGGTGCGTGAGGGAAAATCCTCGGCTAGGCTAATGGGAGAATAAAAAGACTGCCTGCCTGTCTTGCCAGTAACACTACCATGGTAAGTAGCCTATCAAAGTCCAGTGCCAGGAGCTGAGAGTGAGACATCTCGTCCTTCGTTCCCATCCGCGCGTCATTTATCACAGGCAACAATTAATACACCTCCCTGCATGCGGGCCACACAAATTAACCACTGGATTTGTTCAAACGGCATGAACCAGGAATTATTTCCGCATTTGCTACAGTAGAGAGAATGTTTCCGCAATATATGGAAGCAGGATGGAGAGAGTTGCTGGTTTCTCCTTTCTTTAAATGCCAGGGCAGATGCTGGAGAGCAATAGTTCTTTTTGGACGACTTGAAAACAGGGAGCATGCTTGGACGACTGGCTCTATTCTAGTGGGAAGGCTTTATTTCCATCCCTTGTTGGTGTCAAGTGCACATCCATGACATTTTTCTCGCCCGTTCTCTCCCTCTCCCCTGCCTCGCATTTATCAAAGTTGTAACCCTGTTGTCTTTGCAGAGCGAATCAGAATGTGCCCCTGGCAAAGAATGAAGGAAAAGTCAACAGGAATTAAGTTTCACTGCAACTGTTTACTCAACTGTGGCCTGCAGTTATTGAAATTTTATCCATGGTTTTGTGTGACTACTGCAGTAATGAATTCAGTATGGCTGTGATTTTCTCACTGACGACATGCTCGTTCGGAGCTGGAAAAAAGATGGGTGGGAGGTGGGGTCTGGGGTCTAGCTGGGGTAGTGGGGATGATCTGGAGAGGCCTAAAGGCTTCACAGACTAAGGCTGAGAATCAGAACACACACTGACTCATCCTTTGTACTTACTGAACAATCAACACTTCTTCGGCCACTTACAAAGAGGAAATGGAATTAACAGGGGCATCTTGCACCAAAACAAGCACCACACTTCTAAGATGACGACACCTAAAGCATTATTTTGCTTTGAGTGTATGTTTGACCAATTAATTATATTTACATACACCCATACTCGACAATAAAAAGGGAAAAAACAAACGTTTTTTTAAACAATTCAAAAACATGACTACTGACAAATAGTGACCTTACAGGGTTGTGCCAGTCCAAAGCCCAAAAGCTCCTGTAAAATTAGTGACTTATTGTTCCTGATTTTACAGATAAATAAATGCTAAACAAGTTAAAATTTGTAGTAAAGAATCATGCAAACGTTATGACTTCATTTAATTTGACCTGTTCAATGCTTACATGGATTAAAACATCCCTTCTGATATATCAATACATGGTAGTTTCCCTTTCGCGGTGGTACTGGGAAATAAATCCTCCAGTATCTCTGTTCTCCTGGGTGCAGAGCTACAGACTGGTACCCCTGCTGTTCTGCCTGTGCTAGCACATGATCAGCAATTAGCATTATAGCGAGGGGAAAGTGCTATAAGTGCATATAGCTGGTGTTACAAAGTTCCTGGCAAAAGCCCTGGTCATCTTACTGCTGAAGTGAAACCTGAGCTACACATCTGAAATTTCACAATAAAATTTATGTTATGTCTAAACGTCACCTAAAATGCCAAGCAATGACTCTTTAAACGGCTAAGCTATTTTGTCCTATTATCAAAATGTTCCCATCATTTCCGAAAAACAGAACTGTTCATCAGTAGCCAAATATCACAGCATCAGAACACCGTGATGACTGTGTTCAAAGATGATAAATGATAATACTGAGTTATTGCTCAGCTCTATGTGTTACAATGCCATTTCCCTCTTGTTCCATGCTACAGCTTTGTTTGCCTCCCTGTAAAAATGCTGATGGATGCGCTGTGACAACAGACAGCGGCACAGAGCCGTGCATCATCACCAAACAGCTCCTGACAACAACCCTAGTTGTGCTGTCGCAAAGACCAAGATAGTAGAAGACACACTGATCTTTTCAGTGTTGTTTCTTTAAACGCAGTGTCGTGTGCCACACATAACGCTGACACCAACAGAAAGAGCTTGTCTGTTTGCCTCAAGTCTGAGATGGTGAAAATGTTTCGGCTTCACTGACGATAACGCCGGCGTCTGTCTCCTCACCTCATTGGTTAGTACAGCAGAGTGTGGCATTAGTTGTGAGTGTGAGGTGTGTTTACAATGAGCCGGAGGAAAACGCTGTCATCCAATTGGATGTCACAGTTCCTTAACTGTCTACAAAATCCTGTGGCACCTACATACTTAAAATATGTCAGAACATCATAATAAATATTTGATGGAAATGCAGATGCTGCATGCTACGATAAACACGTTTGCAACCAAACAATCACACAGAAAGAGCACTCCTCGTCTTTTAAATATTCAAAAAGGGCCTCAGTATACATAAATAATAATAATAATGTGTTTATGAACTAGATGTACTTTGAGGAGGAATTAAATATTAAGAGGCACTTTAAGAGGCGGATCGGCCTGCTGTTGACATGGCTTAATAAAGTGAAGACAGGTGTGAATGGTCTACCTGGTGCTGCTGGAGATGCAGGAAATCTGCTGCAGTCACTTCCGCTGACGGCGCGGCACTTTTTGGTCGCCCCTCTCTGGGTACTCCCTCCACGCTCGCTCCTCCATTCTCATTGGCTGGGCCGTTGCTCGTCGCCTCCGTCCCAGATTCTTGCATCATGACTTAAAAACCTGAGAGAAGGCGCAGAAGAAGAGAAAACAGGGACAGAGACAGAGAGAAGCAGCTGTTAAAACACACTGCAATGAGGTCGCATTTCAACTGTGGGCCAAACTATAAACATCTGTCATATTCTTCCCACACAATTTCACTTTTGTTGCAGGTTTCCCTGTTGGTTTGTGCTTCCCCGTGTCTTGTTTGTTTGCGTGTAGCATATGCAATGAGGCAAACACACACACACACGCATTCACAGGCTGCCTCTAAACACAGTAATGAACAGCTCCTTTGTTTTGTCTTTTCCAGTGCAGATCCTTTACAGATGACAAGTCCATACCGGGCAGGAGAAAAGCAAGTGGGTTTTGTTTGTATCCTTCAGTATAGGGTATATGGAGAGCGCTGGGGGGGGCATGGTGGAGGGGTTGGGGTTCGGCACACATGTAGAGGAACCCAACCTGCGTTGAGTGAGAGCAGAGGAGCCCAAGAAAACACTGGACCTCCAAAACAAAACACTTTCTATGGAAATGGATATATTTACTTGCATGGCTCCCTGAAGAACCACGGCAGAATGGCTTTTTAATGGGAAACAGAGCGACTGTGTGAGGCCTGCCAAAGGATCTCCATGAGAAACATCCAATCTGAGGCTGAACGAAAACAGTCAAATCCTTGAGGGGTGCTCAATTAACACCAAAACACAGGTCTGAATATAAATAAATCCTTTTGCATTGGAAAAAAATGTTGACTTTCATAACTTAATCTAACTGAAAAGGGTAAAATACAAACACTGGCAGTCGTTTTAAGCACCACTGCACGCTTTATGTAAAATTATGGCAGCAGCAATCAGTGAATACACAGCTATTTGCTTACAAGATATGTCCTCAGTTTTGTTTTTGGATACACAAAAGCCAGACAGACATGCCATCTATCCCAGCACACCCCCTCTGTCTCTCTGGGGATAAGTGCCAGTGACACTGGTGCATATCTGTGCCTGAATTCCTCAAATCAGTGGAATGATTTACAGCTATTGTGTGCTGGTCACAGGCTTCATTGCTGCAATGCATCTATCCCCCCAATTCCAGGGCAGTTAATGAAGCTGACCAAGTCAGGCAGAAGCAAATTAACTTGGCTGATTAATTATTTATATGAAGCAGAATAAATGCCTTTAAAACACTGGGCCTCATCATGAAAGAATGTGAAAGTGGAACTAAATGCAGATTTATGGTGCTGCATTTAACGCATGTAATAGGAAGGCCAGTCTGAGTTTATATGTGCTCAGGTACACATGCACAGCGTCTCCAGAGATCCCATCTAAACAAGATGCAGACACACACCCAAGGGGACACACACTCAGGCTGACGGACAGGAAATTGGGGTTGACAACTTGTCACAAAAGAATATTTACAGAGCAGAGGTGAGATAATAATCTAGAAATGGGATTATTTAAAAAAATAAACAGTGGTGTGAGGAGAACTGCGCTTTCAAAATCAGTTTTTTTTAGGGACAGGCTCGTAGCTCACTATCATCAGCAGCAGTTTGGGGCTAAGAGGAGCTAAAACTGTACCAGAACACAAAGCAAACTCCAAAGAGCATTATAGTTTACATTTCCTCTCAGCCCTCCTCGCAAGAAGCATGACTGAATGAGTCATCTGACACTGTGGCCTGTGCCGGTTCAGTTGTGTGTCACAACGCCCCCACACTCAGGGGCCTGTCTGAGCAGCTTGGGCCCGGCCTACAGGGCCTGTTCTTTGGGCTGGAGCTTGAGCTGGCCCCCCTCTCCCTCCAGACAGATGTTGACCCGGCTCACCCTTCCAGTCTGGCACAGCCTCCCTCCATAATGGGATTTTCTAAACAAGGAGTGAGCAAGAGGAATACTGTGGGATGGGACCCAGCCAGCCACAACTCCATCTACAGGCCCCTGCCTGCACCAACTCCCCTTCTGAGACACCAATTAGAAACACACATTCTCAGGCGAAATTAAATGCCATTTGAAATAAACCATGTGCTGACGTTATTCACCCCCACTTATTTTTCAAATAAAAGATATTTTCCACTTGCGGGAAAAAAAGAGCTGTCTTTTTCTTCTTTTTTTCCTCTCTAAAGCTACATAAGGGAGGGGGGGGGGTAATGGCTATTATACATGCACTGTCATTCCATGCAAAAATTTTCATAATTGTAACGGAAAGGCGTAAATTTCCAAATGCACAGCATCTCCAAAAGTAATCAAGAGAATGAGCCGCGGGGCTATTTTAATGTATGCAAAACTAGTGACCCACAATAAAGGAGAGGAAGGCTACAATGAATGCAAAGTAATGCGCGCATGCTTGCGACCGGCACTGATGAGGGGATGGCTAAAATTAACACCCAATTAATTTTCGAATTGACAAACAAATGAAACCCATAAATCTAGTTTCTCATTAATTTTAGCACAGAATAATTCAAAGCTGCAATATCATGAGTGAAAAAATTGGAGGGAAAAAAGAAAATGGAAAATGGGCATTATCCATCATAAATATCAAGCAGATAGGAAAGAGCCTTATTAGAGAGTTGTGCTGATAACAATGTTAATCTGTGAAGCACTGAGGCACGGACACCATCATCATCAGCTGAGGCCCGGGCAACTTGGCCACGTGACTCGGCCCTGAGTTTGTTTATCTATGTATTTATTTTCACTTTGCTCTGGGGAAAGCCTTGTGTGTGTGTGTGTGTGTGTGTGTGTGTGTCTGCGATGATGATGACGATGACTCGAAAAGCTCCAAGTTTTTCCATTTATACACCACGTGCAAATTCAACTGTAATTATGGGTCAAGCATCATGCTAAATGGGGTGTAGTTACTCGGTTTAAGAACATATGCATTCGTGGTCCAAACACAAACATTTCAACATAATAAAATACACAAAAGGAGACGTGAGGGGAAAAAAGAAAAAGAAAAGCTCTCTTATTATTAATGGAGCATGTCAGTTTTTTCGGAGCTGGAAAAAAAAGTTTAAAAAAACAAAAGAGAATGAAAATAATGGAAATTCCAGGAGATCAAAACAAGGCAACAACAGTTTGTACAAAGAGAACTAGCTGTGCTGTTGATTATTAGATGCCTGCCTGGTCTTTAGGGGGGAGTTGCTTGCAAAATAAAACAAGTGTTTGGAACAAACACTGGATAATAAAAAAAGGTCAGAGTTCCTGTTTGTTTACAGTTTGTTTTGTTTTCCCTGCTTCAAATGGCATAGGGAGTACAGTACAAACAAGAGTCACATGGGTCTCCCACCTGACCAGACAGGTTGAAGGTTAAGAACAGCCAGCGGGCCAGAGCTCATCACCACAATGGAAATCCAATGCCTGTCCCCCTGTCATGCCTGCCTGGAATTCAACAGCTCAAACGAGTCAGCGGTGGATTCAAGGTAGGGCTGGTCCGTGCAGCTGTGCTCTGACCCTTCTCCGTGTTCTGTTTTTCTCTAATGCTCATGACAGCAAAGCCTCGGCAGCCACCTGCTTCGATTCACCAAGTTCTCACACAGACGTTGTTTACAGAAGCACACAACAAAAGCACAACATTTCTTGGGTGGGAGATAATGACATACAAAGGAGGACACAATAGGGAGAAGTTCACTTTAGAGCTGTTTAGGTTCAGCTTGGTTGCCAGACTAGACAACACATCGGCGTGCACCAAAGGTGCAACAACAGAATGCTTCTGAAGGTTGCTGAACAGGCTTGTGTTTTGCTGTATTTTGGCTCCTGATGTGAGGGAAAAGTCGAAAGACAAACACAAGCTGCATGTTAAATAATCCATTATCGCAGCCCTCATCACTGATAACAAACTACTCTGAGTATCTCTTGAAAATATTCCGCTGGACAACACAACACGGAGAAATTGGGCTAAATTCCAACAAGCTTTATAAACTGCACTCCCACTCCCTCATACATATCATCTCCACACAGCAGAACCACCTCAGTCACAAAGCCTGAAAGTGGATCCAGTTGCCGCTCCTCTTCTGAGAGAAACGAACGGCCGTGGTGACATTCTGCCAAAGGAGACTTCACAGCCAGACCAAACAACCGTGTAATCTTGTCAGCCACTTCAACCAAGTCACAGATAAGCAAAGCATATCTCCAGACCTCTCTGACAATATAGAAGTAAAACACGCTGCACCCACCCTTCTGCAAATAATACCCCCATTGCAAATCCTAGATTTCTGCTCCACAAGAGACACAGAAGTTCTTCCCAGACCTTGTACAGGGTATAAGCAGGCCACTGACACCAGCAAACAAAGCAGCTGTTTGTTTAATAAGTGATTGCTGCCATGGCTACAGTAAACATGGAGAGCAGGGGTTTGTGTTTATGAACAAACACATCTCCTTGCAGGAGCCATTTAATATTAACCAGGTGAAATGATCAGCCAATTTCCTAGGTGACACTAGGGGCAGGCAGAGTGTAAACAGGTTCTAGGAGGGGAGAAGGAGGGGCGAGGCTTTAGGGAATCAAGGTCGATGCAAACGCAGCTTTGACTAGAATAAACAGCGAGGCAAAAGTCAAGATAAACAAAAAGTCATTCTTCTGACATTTCGAGACGCATTAGGCTGGCGTGTTGCAGCTGCTCGCAAGCCACCGTGAATGAGAACAAGATGGGGGTGACGGGCGGGGTGGGCAGCCATGGGGGTGGTCTCCTATGGAAACACATCATTGTCAAGCAAAGCAATCGTGTGTTTCTTCCAGGCCCAACAAACAGTGGCGCTTCACAACAGCACAGCGAGGAACTTGTAAAAACATGTTAAACATTTACCTCATTCAATTATTCAGTAACCGGGTTTGTGGAAATAACAAAGGAAGTCTGAGGGCTCCCAGAGATGGCACTCACTACACCAGGGCATGGAGAGAAAAACAACAAAGAAGGAATTAGGTGGAACTGAGCAAGAAAAGATGTTATCCTTCATAAATCACAGCGCCTGGTTTTGATTACTTGATTTATGTGTGACTTGAATAGTAAGATTATGACTTAGTCTGCCTGCTACATCAAAAATGTAATT